ATTCTACTGAAGCTGTTTCAAAAAATAGAAACAGAAGGAAAACTTCCAAACTCATTCTGTGAGGCCAGCATTACCTTAATCCCCAAACCAGGCAAAGATCCCATCAAAAAGTAGAATTTCAGACAAATATCCCTGATGAATATGGATTCCAAAATCCTCAACAAAATCCTAGCTAATAGGATCCGACAATACATTAAAAGGATCATCCACCACGACCAAGTGGGATTTATCCCCGGGATGCAAGGGTGGTTCAACATTCGCAAATCAATCAATGTGATAGAACACATTAATAAGAGGAGGGAGAAGAACCATATGGTCCTCTCAATTGATGCAGAAAAAGCATTTGACAAAATACAACATCCTTTCCTGATTAAAACTCTCCAGAGTATAGGAATAGAAGGAACATTCCTCAAGTTCATAAAATCCATCTATGAAAAACCCACAGCGAATATCATCCTCAATGGGGAAAAGCTGAGAGCCTTTCCCTTAAGATCAGGAACACGTCAAGGATGCCCACTCTCACCACTGTTGTTCAACATAGTACTAGAAGTCCTAGCAACAGCAATCAGACAACAAAAAGAAATAAAAGGTATTCGAATTGGCAAAGAAGAAGTCAAACTCTTTTCGCAGACGACATGATACTTTATGTGGAAAACCCAAAGACTCCACCCCCAAATTACTAGAACTCATCCAGCAATTCAGTAATGTGGCAGGATACAAAATCAATGCACAGAAATCAGTTACTTTCTTATACACTAACAACGCAACTGTAGAAAGAGAAATTTGAGAAATGATTCCATTTACAATAGCACCAAAAACCCCAAGATACCTCAGAATAAACCTAACCAAAGAGGTAAAGGATCTATACTCTAGGAACTACAGAACACTCATGAAAGAAATTGAAGAAGACACAAAAAGATGGAAAAATATTCCATACTCATGGATTGGAAGAATAAACATTGTTAAAATGTCTATGCCACCCAGAGCAATCTATACCTTCAATGCCATCCCGATCAAAATTCCAATGACATTTTTCAAAGTGCTGGAACAAACAATCCTAAAATTTGTATGGAATCAGAAAAGACCCCGAATCGCCAAGGAAATGTTGAAAAAGAAAAACAAAGCTGGGGGCATCACGTTGCCCGATTTCAAGCTATATTACAAAGCTGTGATCACCAAGACAGCATGGTACTGGCACAAAAACAGACATATAGACCAATGGAACAGAACAGAGAACCCAGATATGGACCCTCAACTCTATGGTCAAATAATCTTTGACAAAGCAGGAAAAAATATGCAGTGGAAAAAAGACAGTCTCTTCAATAAATGGTGCTGAGAAAATTGGACAGCCATGTGCAGAAGAATGAAACTCGTCCATTCTCTAACACCATTCACAAAGATAAACTCAAAGTGGATAAAAGACCTCAATGTGAGACAGGAATCTATCAAAATCCTAGAGGGGGGCGCCTGGGTGGCTCAGTCGTTAAGAGGCTGCCTTCAGCTCAGGTCATGATCCCAGGGTTCTGGGATCGAGCCCTGTGTTGGCCTCCCTGCTTGGTGCGAAGCCTGCTTCTCCCACTCCCGCTCCCCCTGCTTGTGTTCCCTCTCTTGCTGTGTCTCGCTCTGTCAAATAAATAAAATAAAATCTTTAAAAAAAAAAATCCTAGAGGAGAACATAGGCAGTAGCCTCTTTGACATCGCCCACAGCAACTTATTTCAAGATACATCTCCAAAAGCTAGTGAAACAAAAGCAAAAATGAACTTTGGGGACTTCATCAAGATAAAAAGCTTCTGCACAGCAAAGGAAATAGTCAACAAAACAAAGAGGCAACCCACAGAATGGGAGAAGATATTTGCAAATGACACTACAGATAAAGGGCTGGTATCCAAGATCTATAAAGAACTTCTCAAACTCAACACCCAAAAAACAAATAATCAAGTCAAAATTGGGCAGAAGATATGAAAAGACACTTCTCTGAGGAAGACATACAAATGGCTAACAGACACATGAAAAAGTGTTCATCATCATTAGCCATCAGGGAAATCCAAATGAAAACCACACTCAGATACCACCTTACACCAGTTAGAATGGCAAAAATGGACAGGGAAAGAAACAACAAATGTTGGAGAGGTTGTGGAGAAAGGGGAACCCTCTTACACTGTTGGTGGGGATGCAAGTTGGTACAGCCACTTTGGAAAACAGTGTGGAGGTTCCTCAAAAATTTAAAAATAGAGCTAACCTATGACCCAGAAATTGCACTTCTGGGTATTTACCCCAAAGACAGAGATGTAGTGAAAAGAAGGGCCATATGCACCCCAATGTTCATAGCAGAAATGTCCACAATAGCCAAACTGTGGAAAGAGCTGAGATGCCCTTCAACAGATGAATGGATAAAGAAGATGTGGTCCATATATACAATGGAATATTACTCAGCCATCAGAAAAGATGAATACCCAACTTTTATATCAACATGGATGGGACTGGAGGAGATTATGCTAAGTGAAATAAGTCAAGCAGAGAAAGTCAATTATCATATGGTTTCACTTATTTGTGGAACATAAGGAATAGCAAGGAGGACATTAGGAGAAGGAAGGGAAAAATGGGGGGGCGGAATTGGAGGGAGAGATGAACCATGAGAGACTATGGACTCTGAGAAACAAACAGGGTTTTAGAGGGGAGGGGGGAGGGGGGATTGGTTGGCCCAGTGATGGGTATTAAGGAGGGCACGTCCTGCATGGAGCACTGGGTGTTATACGAAAACAATGGATCGTGGATCACCACATCAAAAACCAATGATGTATTGTATGGTGACTAATATAACATAATAAAATTAAAAAAAAAAATTCGAGAACAAGAACAAGTTGAGGGACTGACACTACCCAACTTCAATACTTACAAAAAGCTACAGTAATTAAGACAATGTGGTATTGGTGAAAGAACAGACATCTAGATCAATGGAACAGAATAGAGAGCCCAGAAACAGACCCGCATAAATATAGGCAATGTATCTTTGACAGAGGAACAAAAGCAAAACAATGGAGAAAAGGGTTTTTTCAACAAATTTTGTTGGAACAACTGGTATCCACACGCCAAAAAAAAAAAAAAAAAAAAAAAAATCTAAACATAGACCTTACACCCTTCACAAAAATTAGCTCAAGATGGATCATGGACCTAAATGTAAATGCAAAAGTGTAAAACTCCTAGAATATAACATAGGAAAAACCTAGATGACCTTGGCTATGGCAATGACCTTTTAGATAGAACACCAAAGGCATGATCCATGAAAGAAATAATAGATAAGCTGGACTTTATTAAAATTAAAAACTTCTGCTCTGCAAAAGATAATGTCAAGAGATTGAGAAGCCACAGATCGGGAGAAAATATTTGCAAAAGACACTTTTGATAAGGAACCGTTATTCTAAATATACAAAGAAGTCTTAAAACTCAACAACAAGAAACAAAAAACTGACTAAAAAATGAGCCCAAGACTTTAACAAACACCTCACTAAGGAAGATATATATAGCAAATAATTAGGGCACCTGGGTGGCTCAGTTGGTTAAGCATCCAACTCATGATTTTAGCTGAGGTCTTGATCTCAGGGTCGTTAAGTTCAAGCCCCACACTGGGCTCTGCGCTGGGCATGGAGCCTCCTTAAAAAAATGTATATATATATATATATACATATGTATGTGTATATATATGTAGACATTCTTTAGTAGGTGAATGGATAAATGAACTGTGGTACATTCAGACAATGCAAGATTTATTCAGCACCAAAAAAAATGAGCTATCAAGCTATGGAAGGACATGGAGGAATCTGAAGTGTATATTACTAAGTGAAAGAAGCCAATCTGAAAAAGCTACATACTATATGATTCCAACTACCTGACATTCTGGAAAAGGCAAAACCACGGATGCAGTAAAAAGATCAGAGGTTGCCAGGGGCTGGGAAAGAAGAGGGATGAATAGGCAGAGCACAAAGGATTTTTAGGGCAGTGAAAATACTCTGTATGATATTATAATGATGGACACATGTCATTATACATTTGTCCAAACGTATGGATTGTACAACACCAGCAGTAAACTGTAATGGGAACGGTGATTGTGATGTGTCAGTGTAGGTTTCTCAGTTGTAACAAATGTCCCACTCTGGTGGGGGAATGTTGATAATGGGAGGCTATGCCTGTGTGGGGGCAGGAGCATATAGGAACTCTATGTATCTTTCTTTCTTTTCTTTTCTTTTTTTTTAAGATTTATTTATTTATTTGAGAGAGCGAGAATGAGAGAGAGAGAGAGAGTACATGACAGGGGGGAGGGTCAGAGGGAGAAGCAGACTCCCTGCCGAGCAGGGAGCCCGATGCGGGACTCGATCCAGGGACTCCAGGATCATGACCTGAGCTGAAGGCAGTCGCTCAACCAACTGAGCCACCCAGGCGCCCTCTATGTATCTTTCAATGGTCCTGTGAACCTAAAACTGCTCTAAAAAAATAAAATCTTTAAAAAAAAAAAAAGCAGCATTTGAAAGGTTAACTATTTTTAGATGGGAAAGGGGACATAGGTAATTATTTTTAGCTGGATTAAAACTCAAGAAAATTAACAAAGACTGAAACACAGCCTCTACTTTAGGCTTCAGAAAAACCTCATTGAGAAAGCCAAAGGACATGTAAAACTGAATTATTTTGATAACATTTTAAAATTATAGACATATAATTTCAATGTCCCCTTAGCTGTTATCAGTATTGTTTTCTTTTTAAAATAAAATTGAAATGTGTACCGTAAAAAAAGTCACCTCCACCCTCAAAAGCTCCAAAGTATTTACCATGAGTTAACTTTTAGTCACAGTTTCATTTTACCTGACTCTTATTTTTCTGTTGGTCAAATTCTAAAAGGGAATAAGGCATGTGTGTACAATTTATTTGTATGGTATAATTGGGAGTGTAAGAGATTTTATTCTAACACTGGGTTTAATCCTGGTTTTCCTTCTTTGCATGCATGCAGGACTATTTCCTCAAATAAGCAGTTCTTTTAAAAATTCACCTGATGTCAAGCACAGTGTGGTAAGTCCACTATTGCTCAGCCATCATTTCCATGGAGAGCTTAAATCATTGTACCTGCGTATTTCATAAAAAACAAACTAGAGGGGGTTGGAGTTATTGTTTAAAATTATTTATTCATCAAACACTTATTTATGAGTGCTTATTTAGTGTGTGCATAGCTTTCTTTTAGGTGATGGGGATACAAAGATAAACAACCAAGATTATAAATTGTTAACTGATGATGTTGTATCTTCTTCAGAGTCACCAACTTCTCTTTCCCATGTAAGACAGTAACTGTATATATTATATTGACAGTTTAAAAACAAAAACAGCTTTTCTCAGATTTTAAACTTTCAAATAATACAGAGGAATAGAAACAAAGGTAAAAATTATCTGAAATCCTTTCCCTCCCCCCAGGGATAATCACCATGAACATTTTAGTGAACCTCCTTAGAAATGTCTCTCCATAGTTACGCATACATAAAGATGCACACATGGACACAGAATGCATTGATGGGATCTACTGTCCTCTGATCTGCTTTAATCACTGAATATTTTCATGGACATATTCTTTCAGTGTTAGCAATAATACTTATCATTTTAATGGATATGTAAGATTCCATTGACTGGATATATCACAATTTAAAAATATCCCATATTGCCAGGCATTTAGGTTTTTCAAATTGGCAACTATTATAAACAATGCAGTGATGAATAAATTTAAATATAAATTTTTGCAATTGCACAATTATCTCCTCAGGGTACTTTCTCAGAAGTCGACTTCTTGGATCAGGATTTATGCTTATTTGAAATTTTGATATATGGCCAAATTGCCTTCTAGAAAACTGGCCTCATGCACCAGCAGTCCTCAACAGTGCCTGTTTTCCCATATTTTCTCTAACACTGGCTTTAAAAAGTAATTTTGTTATTTCCCAATTGAATAGATGAAGATATTTTAATTTCCTTTTAATTTTAATTTCATTGATTATCAGTGAGTTTGATGAGCATCTTCTGTTTATTCGTTATTCACAGAGGTAGTTTTGCTTTCTAAAGTCCCTACTAACACTGAATTATTGGACCATTGCTCCTAGGAGAAATATAGGGCCAGGTTCCTGTGAGCCTCTGGTCACAACATTTTCATCAACTATAAATTTGTGTTTATGTGTGTTTCTGTTTGAAGATACCTTATTTCATAAGTATAGTTGAGTCATTAACGTTGTACTTACAGCCAGCAGCACTCTAACTCATGCCTAAATGAAGTTTACCTAACAAGTGTATTTTCCCAGTAAGGCACATCAAAGTCTTCTTGCACTTAGGGGCGTCACACAGCATGTCAGCACTACACTGGGGGCCATTTTAAACAGTGAAATCACTAACAAAACACATAAAAATGCAGAAAATGTGGCACTAAATAGGCCCCCCCAAAGGACACTTGTTTAAAGATGAGAGCTGAAATAAGAAGGCAAAGTGTCCTCTTGTTTGACCTCGACTGAGAATATGCATGTCAGGTGACTCAAATTGTTTTCTGCTCCCTGAATGTCCTTGAATGCCTCAAAAATGCTACATATATTGATTTTGGTGTTACAAATAAATTTTATTGAGTAGGAAAACTGGAAAATCTGGAACCCATGAATAATGAAGATTGATTATATTCATTTTCTTTGCCCATATGTCTATTAGGGTGTTTAGCTTTACTGCATTGACTTGTGTATGCTATTTCCATATTAGGATAGTACTCTTTTGCCTATCCTATTTTATCAATATTTTCCCCAGTTTTGTCTATTTTACTGTTAGTGTCTGTTATTACAATGGCTTTTGACAGCCGTATCAAAAACTGCCTTTGAATGAAGAAGCACAACACGGGAAAAGGAATTTTATTAAATTTCTCTTGTTGTGAGGGTGGTTGGTATTTATTTTTATCTCTTTTTTATAGACACACCAAATTCTGTTTGGTGATTTTTCTCCAGCACCTCCAAATTACGGAAAATCATGTAAGTCCTGTCCCAAACTATCACTTTATATCATGTTCTGCCTTCATTTTAATTATGGTCTTCATCTGGTATTTTCCTCCCTTCAAGAGTCTGAGGCCATTTAAGGCCTTTTGCATTTCTGCTTCTTTTCCTCCTTTCATGCACCTGGTTACTTTGTTGTACCTCTCCTAAACAGTAAGGATGACAGGATGCAGAAATAAAAGGAGGGAGAAATCCCAGAGAGACATTTGCCAGCAGCAGCTCTGAAAAAGAGCATATATGTGAGAAGGTCGTGGTGGTAGCAGAAGTTGGGTGGGGCTGGGGGTTAGTATGGATGTGAGTGTTTGGAGCTACTGATTAAAAGTGATTAAGGAATATTAGTGAATTTCATTTATTCATCTCATGGTAGATACTACCACAAGCATTTACACATTGCCTGTCTCTTTCTACTAGGTATGAGAATTAAAAAGCCAGTATCTAAGAATCTGACGAGCTACAATCAACTAAAGAAAGACTTTCTGAAGCATGTAAGAATCTTTTTGCTTGTCACCCAACAGTGAATCCCTGGGGTGGTGTCCGTAAATGTGCATAGTGTGGCAGTGAGGATGGTGGTGTGTGTATGTGCAGAGCTGGTGTGAAGGTGATCCCAAATTTACAATCATGTGACAAACAGAAAAGTAGACTGCTCTGGTGAGCATTCTCTCTTAAAGCATCATGAACATTCCTGTATAGATCTCTCCAGTTGTTGTGGAAACAAGCCTCAAAGAGGCTTATGGGAATTGGAAATTTCTCTTGTACTCCCCAAATTTTCCTTAGCGATATCAGTGATTTGCTGGATTCTGCCTCTTGCAAAAAAGGTAATGAGTTCTCAGATTGTCCTTCCTTTCTGGGACCCACCCTGAGTGCCCACTGTCCTGGGCTCACTCTCCTCAGATGCTTGTTCTGCCATCCAATATCGACCATCTCTGTTCCCCTTCACATGGCCGTCCAGAGCAGGGGCTTTGTCTTGCCTAAATGCTAAAATGGAATTCTATCTTTTTTTAAAGATTTTATTTATTTATTTGACAGAGAGAGAGAGAGCAGGAACACAAGCAGGGGGAGTGGGAGAGGGAGAAGCAGGCTTCCCATGGAGCAGGGAACCCCATGTGGGGCTCGATCCCAGGACCCTGGGATCATGACCTGAGCTGAAGGCAGACGCTTAATGGCTGAGCCACTCAGGTGCCCCTAAAATGGAATTCGTTCTATGTCTTAAGAGTTCTGGCAGAGATTCCTAAAGAATGAGTTGAAAAAAGGAATACAAACTAGTTTCTGCAAGCACTCCACTGACTTCACCTCATTTAATATAAAAGTTACAATTATTCTTGCTTTCCTCTTACTTTTGTTTAAGATTTATCTTTAAATTGACTCAAAAAAAAAAAAATCCCAGCCTCACTTTAAGTAATTATATTTGTGACACCATGGATTTGGTATTCTAGTTATGTGTATTAGAAAAAAAAAAAAAAAACAACACAAAAACCTGACCGTTAAAAGAAGTGTTACTCAAGTACCACCTAACATTATCACAAGACCCACTGGTTATATACACATGGCACTTTGGAAAATGCTAGTCTGTGGGCACCAACTAGCTAATCTGACAAAGTTAGCTAATGGGGCAGGGTTGGACAGCCCACCTGGGTTCCCAGGTAACTAGTCCACTGAATGATGGCCTTCCAGAAATTGTTTCTTGATTTCTCTGCATTAGGAATTGATAACTTTGCTCCGGAGCATGGCAAGCACGAGGAGGCAGGGCTGTGGTAGGCTGTGGAGGGGCAGTTCTTTGGGGGCGTTTGGAGCCGGGCAGTCTACTAAGAGATACATTGTGCGGGGGGCCAGGGGCATCCCTTCACTGTAGTGTTGGTGCATCCTTCTAGGAAGGGCAGATGATTGCCTGAAAGTATATATTACTGCTAGCTGGGCCTCCTGGGGGTTGCTTGGGAGAATCATTAACTATTGCTAAATAAATCCCTCTTGCTGGACGGAGCTGTGCTGGCGCCAAGCAATTCCACCGCCAGTGGCTGCAGCTGTTGTGGGGAACAGTTGCCTTTCTCTTTGAGGTGCTTCCCCGGCCCCCTCCCCTAAAGTGAGTTTCCTATCCTCACAGTGGCCTCTTTTCAGTCAACAATTCCTGACAAATTAGTGGCATTACATCCTACTCTTGTTTTTATGGTACAACAGGCTGAAAGTATTCCCCCCAGCCCTGCCCCCCCACCTCCGCCCCAGTTCACACCATGAATGTGGGGCACTTGTTTGGGGAACCTTGGGCCTGAAGTTCTGACCACAAAAATAAATCATGACCTTTAATTTATTAGACAAGGCAAAATCTTAATTATTTTTAGAGGTGCTGTATTTTGGGGGAGGAGAACAAGCACTGAGATGTAAAATGCACAAGTTCCCCGCATCAGCATCATCGGCAACAAGTAGGGATTGAAGGAAATTTTCAGCAACCGGTAAGGATTGGATGGTTGAAATGTTCAACCACCATTAACAATATTCTCACTTTTTAAAAAGTATTTGCCTGGTGGCTAATGCCTTGGTAACCCATCTTCTTACTGTCGCTATTTCTGGGTCCTATCTTCAAGAAACTCACGTTGTAAAACTGGAAAGCAGAGCAATCACACCCAGGAATTCCAGCCTACAGGAACAGTAGGGAAGACGGGCAAGAATCTTACCACATAAGGGGTGATTGGGCAAGGCCAGAAGCAGTGGTAGTTCGGCTGTGATTCCAGAGTTCCTGCATTTTTTTCTCTCTCCTGCTTATTGACTGGCCTTCCTGGCAGAGGCACGATATATGTAATAGGAAGGTTAACGGAGATGGAAGAAGATGCAGGGAGAATCCCAACTCCTGCTCAAGAATGAGCTCTTTGCACCTGCATTCCCAGTGCCGTGCAAAAAGCAACCTCTGCGGATGGGCGAATGCTAACAACGCCGCCGTTTTCCTCCAGCTTCAGCAACAGGGTAATTCCGCAAGCAAGGCGGGCTCGTCGGACGACTCAGAAGGGGATCAGTACTCCGATTATAGTCTGGGAGCACCGGCATCGTCTCTTAGCTGGGTCGCAAAACCAAGTCCCAAAGGTGGAGGCCTGCAGTTTGCTTAAGTAACGACTCCGAGGTAGGAGAGGGCCCGCTACTCTCTAGACCCTCACAGGCTGGCTTTCTGGGACACTCTCCCGGGCTTCCAACACCCCCAGCCCTCAATTTTTTCTCTCTCTTAAATTGGAAGCGGGAACTTTAAAAATCATTACTGATTTTTTAAAAGGAAATCCCTGGGAGTCACACTTGTCCGCAAGAGCCACAGAAATGGTGCTGCGGCCCCGACAGCTGTGGGCTCCGGCGTGGAGGAGCCAGTCCCTTCCATCTGGGAGACCCGGGCGGGGAGGGCCGCAGGGGCGTGAGAAAGGCTTTTCTGTATTCAGAGCACTAGCCCAGGGGAGCCGCCTGCTTCTCCGCCGGCCTTCCCTCCGCGCAGCGGGCCGCGAGGGAGCAGATGCGCCCACGCCGTCGGGGGGGGGCGACGCGAGGCGCGGCGGACCGGGAGCTGGGGGCGGGGAGACCGCGGCCTTTCACGCCCCGGCTCTCCCCGGAGGGGCCTCGCGGCCCCGAGGCCCCGCCCACGGCCCGCCCCTCTGTCTGCCGCGGGCTTCCTCTCCCGCTCCCTCTGCCCCCGTCTCCCTCCACGCTCCGCCCCCCCCGCAACCCCCTCCCCGGTCCCGTCTGCCTCCCGCCCTCCCGTGCGGAGCGCGCTGGAGGCTGGGCCCGGGTCCGGCGGCCGTGGAGGCGGCGCGGAGACCCGGCGCGCGGGAAGGAGCCGGCCGCGGTCTCGGGCAGCAAAGGGCAGCCGCGGCTGGTGTCCTTTGAGGGCGGGCGGAACTGTGTGGTAACGAAAGTAGCTGCCTCCTACCCCTTCCTCCCCACCTCGCGCGCCGCCCCCTGGCCCCAGCTCCGTTTGCTTCCATTTACCCAGGCCGTCTTCTCGTGATTCCTGCTGAATAGAAAAGGTAATTCATTAGAAGTCGTACCACCACCGCGGCCCTGCGGGCCCCCCTCCCCCCCCGCCCCGAAACTCCTAGTGGTTATTTTTGTTCTTTAGCCCAGGTTAAGCTAAATACATTCCCGGGAAGCCATCTGGTCTGGTTCCCGGGATCCCTTCGTATGGTTTCCATTAAGCTCGCCAAACCGTGCGTTGAAAATGCAGCCTTGGAGACACTCAGGAACCTCCAGGATTTTTGCCTTTTCCAGCCTCGTTTAGAGAATCTCAGGCAGAGGGAGGTAAAAGCCTCTGTTTAAGTTCTGAGTCCAGTACCCTGTGGTCCCGGTCTTATGCTGTAATTAATAGGCTTTACTACTCCAAGGAAATACAATTCTCCGTGTTAACTGGTATCATTCATTCATTGATTCATTGATTCATTATTTGTTTGCTATATGCGAAGCATTGCTTATTAGAATTCTGTTTTAATTCTAAAACTCTTATGTTAACAGCTTTACAGATGAGTTTACACGATAACCTGGCCACAGAAATTGAGTTCGACCAGCAACATTTGTGTGGTTGGATTTACACCTTTCCTTTGTTGTCTCCCATTCCACTACCCGCCACAGACAAAAAACAAATATTAGGTTGTGGGAAAATATTCCCTTACACATGAACTGGGGTTTGTGGTCCAAGAGAAAAGGAACCAGTCAGGTTCATAAAATCATAGTGTCATAATTGCAAAGTTCCTTAGAATTCATCAAAAATAAGCCTGTTGGTTTATTGAGAAGACTCAGAAAGTGTAGGCGCTCAGAGGTCACTGGGCTTTCAGTACTGTGGCCTAATTCAGGGAGGAGCCCGAGACATCAAGTGCCTTATCACATACTGCAAAAAGGACTTCGATCAAACTCAATTCAGTTGTAGGACATCCTCTCTCTCCGGCTCTTCCCTCTGCAGTTTTCCTTGTGTGCTCTGCTCTGGCTCTCACCTGTGGGGAGTTACAGCCCTTTCTTGCCTCCCCGAACCTAGGCTTCACTCCCTTCTTGCTCTTTCTCTTCCTTCCTATCTATCTCCCCACCCCACCCGAGCCCTGACTATGAGATTTTATTTGGGTTTTTTAAAGTGAAACCAGGTGCTGCCTAAAACAAAAGCAAAGTAATAAGAAGGAAAGACTATCCAACGCCTAAGGAATGTGCTGAGTTTTATGACTCAGGCTGTCCTGGCAAAGAACTCCGACTTACATGGAGAGGTGGGTGGCACAGAGCTCGGACCATACATGGCAGCCCCGGCCTCCCCAGATAGGCATGGTCAAGGCAGCCTGTGACTCATTTTCATAAAACCAGAGACTCCTGTTCCTTGTGGGACAAGACTTCCTGGAGGCTAGAGCCAAAGGATCTTCAACTTTTCCCTATGGGGACCGTTCAGCCTGACCTAGCAGGGGCCACCTTGAGGTTTGCAGGGGAAGGGAGCCCGGGCAGAAGGCCCTCCCCCGGGAAAGAAAACAGGCTTGCTGGACTTGGGCAAGGGTTTTGGTGCACTGAAGTGCTGAGTAATGCGTATGCTGCAAAGCACCATGAAAGTTAGCTTGTATAGTACTGGAGGCGGTGGCTTGGGAGCTCCAGGTGACACAGGATTGTCACAGTGCCTTGGAGGAGGGGAATGTGGCCCAGCTGCTGGGAGCCCAAGGGGTGTTTGCTCTCTCTGCAGTAACGTGAGATGAAGAGCACAGGAAAGGCTGGTCCGATTCGGGCACCGTTTGTGGGTGACATTGCTAATGCAATCAGGAGTAAGAGCAGGACTGGGGGGGTGTCTACATAAACACCCGAGAGACCCCCAGGCACGCATTGGCACATTCTGGGAATTCTTTGCACATGAGCATAGTAACGGGGTGAGGTGCACATTTTTTCAGTTACTAAGAGACAGGCTGAGAGCGCTCAGGAGAATGTCCGTCCTGGCAGAGGTGGTGGGAGGGGTCCGAACTTGGGTGACAAGGATGTGTTTGTGCTTCCTTCATTACACAGGCCTGGCTGGAACGGGACCGATCGTGCTGCTTCTGGTGCCCGCCACCTCAGAGAAGGCTGTCACTTTTGGAATGAGAATGAATCTTGCCTGGCATAAAGGAGATCTCCGTGCGGCAGCCTCTTAGAGTGGGGCCTTATTTTTCCTTTTCTTCTTTCCTTGTTTTCTTTTCCCTTTCCGTGGAATACCCGTTGAAAAGCTCCAGTGACCATTCCATAATTGCAGGAGAAGCTCTGCTCCACTTTTTCATTAAAGTCTACTTACCTGGAAAAAGAAAGTCTTTTAAGGACCATGACTTCATAAATATTTATTTATAGTGTGAGCAGAACTCTGGTTCTGCAGGAGAATGGGCTCATTCAGTTTTATTTATGATGTGACACTCGGGTGAGTGACATCCGTCATCTGGGTCGGTCCTCCGCTCTGTTCCACTGAAGCATGTTTATGGAGTGATTATGCCTGCAGATATTTGCTATATTTAGCCCCTCTCCTCCCCTAACCCCCTCTTAGCCCTTTCAACTCCCCACACCAGCCAAAAGCCAAGCTTGTGGTCCAGGGAAGATTTGAACCCTAATGACAAGGCACAGGGGCTTGAACAAATGCAGCGGGAGCCGGGAGGCAATTAGAGCAGGAACGACGGCCGTTATTATAGCATTCGTACACTAAGGTGCTTGTGCTGGGCCTGCGTCTAGCACGTGAGGTCTCTCAGCTGGGCAGGAAGTGCTTGACAGGTGATGGGCGCAAGCCTGAGTGACGGATGCAGATGGATCCTTAGGAAACTTTCCTTCCCAGGGAGCTTTCTCTGGACAGACTCTCACAACCCTCAGATCTGTCACTGTGCACCTGGGGCTCTGGGGGCAGGGGATGGTAGGAGCCCTGTGACCTCTGCTGGGTCAAGGTTTCTGGTGTAACCCGAGGCTGTCCCCACTCAGCCACACCTGGTCCCTGGCTGGGGGCTGGCAGTTGCCCTTCATCAGCTGGGGAGGAGGGAGGGCCACCTTTGGCTTCTAGCTTTACAGCAGCACATGCCCCGGCCTAGGCATTCCAGGCTGGCCCCGGGCCCGCTCCGGGCTCCGTGCTCCCTGTGATCAGCTTGGTCACCTATTGTTTATCCTGGGAAGGGCCAGGTCTTGGCACAGAGGCCTGAAGTGTTGCCAGCATTTTATTTTTAGAGACAGGAAAATGTTTGCTTTTTGGCAGCTGCTTTTTTTTCTTTTTTCTTTTTTTTCTTTTTGGCATACTCCGGGATGGCATAAAAAAGTTCAAATGAGAGATTCCAAGCCTTAAACTCATAGCATATGACATAGGCAATAGGCCCATGAACCTCTCAACAGTAGTCTTTGTGGAGCTAAGACCTTTCATTAGCAGGCCTCTCGTGCGGAGTGAATCCGCGGGCTCCCCCCGGGGCAGCAAGAGGCCTCTCGTCCACAGACCCCACGGACTAGACGTCTAATGAGGCCCTTTACCGTGCGGTCAGCTGGCCTGAGATTTTGTAGTTCTTACCTCCGTTCATTTCCTTCCCGACCAATTCATAATGTAGTCCAACTCGGTGGACGGAGTAAGAAAGCCAATCAGCCTGCCGAACCCGATGTTTGTCCCCCCTCCTCAGACCCACTGTCATTGTCGTCATGATGACTGGTGCAAAGCAGCCAGCTTCCATGGCGCAAAGCGCATCACTATACTCAGTGCATTTCCATGTTTTATTGGAATTACTATTTGCCCCAACACGGTCTCTCTTAAAACATATTTTTGAAGGTCTTGTGATTCTAGCTACTCATGATTTATCTGAAAGCCTCTTGTAAACTGTAATGACATACTAAGCAAAGGTGAAATGGAATAGAAAAGAAAAACCAGAAACAGAATCACAAATAACAGAGAAGGAACTGGTGGTTGCTGGAGGAGGAGGGGGTGGTGGGGATGGGTGAAATAGGGGAAGAGAATTGAGAGGTGCAAACTTCCAGATCTAAAATAAATCATGGAGATGAAAAGTACAGCCTAGGGAATGTAGTCAATGATATTGTAATAACTCTGTGTGGTGACAGATGGTGAGTATACTTACCGTGGTGAGCACTGAGTAACGTATAGAATTGCCA